CCCAGCATCAGGTTTTATAGAGTCACAGAATGGTTTGGGTTGGAAGGGACCTTCAAGATCATCTTTTTCCACCCCCTGCCATGGGCAGGGACACATTCCACTGTTCCAGGGGGCTCCAAATCCCATCCAGCCTGGCCTTGGACACTGCCAGGGAGGGATCCAGGGGCAGCCACAGCCCACCCTCACAATAAAGGACTTTGTGCTGATATCTGCTCCTGCCCCTGGGAGCTGAGGGTTTGGACCAGGGCTCTGCACCAGCCTGATCCAGAGCAAACCACAGCTGAGTGCAGGGACACCTCAAAATCCACAGGATGGCCAGAATCCACCTCAGCCTGAGCCAACCTAAACTCCCCTGGGCTTCCAGGGGTGTTAGGAACTGAAGAGCCAGGAGATGGAACTTCTGTGCCACAGGCTTTCCATGGGCTGAGCTTCACCTCCTGTGTGCTTAGGGAAATTCACAGCGATTCCCTCCACCAGCTTCCCGGCCACGAGGGAGCTGGAATGCTGAACTCATGGAGAGGTTAGGGAACCTGGAGGCTGTGGCAGTGGTGACCACCTCATGCAGAAAGCTGAGAGCATCTTCCCCTGCTGGCTGGGTCAGGACTCGCTGCTGCCATTTGGCAAAGCATGATCCAACCTGTATGGCCCAACGAGGGGAGGGTGATGGAAATCTTTACAGAAAACATCTCAGAAACTCTAAACAACACATTTTCTACACAGAGATAAGGACAGAGATTAACGCCTGAATTATTCTGGATAATTAGTGTAGCAGGTAATCATTTAAAATCTGGCACATCTGTGAATACATCACTTTGACTGAACTAGAAAATATTTGCTACTGCTACAATGAAATGGCTTCAGCCATCCCACAGGGAAATCTTTGTGGGAGATTAATTCTCACTTCAAATGGCAGAGATTTGCAAGAGGATTATGTGGCCAGGATGACACATTCACATTGTGATAGGAAGTGAGACAGTTTTTTTTTTTCCCCACAGCAAAGCCGAGTGCTGGTTTCTTTGAGTTCATGTATTCTTTGAGCTTGAGGGCTCGGCCCTCTTAAGTGTGGAGTATTTGATAGCTGAAACGCTCAACAGTGCTTGAAAGAAAATGGTGACAAGAACAAGGGCAAGAGAGACAGAAGCTCTCAAAGAGAGGACAGTGAAATCCCAACTTAGATTAAAATTCCTAAAGCATCAAGGTCATGCTGGCAGAGCTAGTGAATGTGGGGTTTTAGCTTATTATAAATGTTACCAAGAGCTGTCATCTAAGAACACTGCACGAGACAGCACAGGTCTGGGAGCATCCTGTACTCACTGCTCAGACTCAGGCAGCTCCCAAAAATGTGTCTCTTGCCCTGGGGCCAGCAGTCACTGGGGAGACACCCCAGACCTGGAGCACACCTGGTGGGGCCACATTCCCAGGCAGTGCAAGGACTGATGTCCAGGCTGTCCAGGTGCTCCAGGTTTGAACTGGGCACAGAACAGATGCTGAAGTGGTTTCTTGGTACTCAGCACAGGGAGGAGAGTTCGGGGAGCTGTAGCTTTGTGTGGGGATTTTATTGCTTACAGCACTAAGGAGAGCTCTAACCAAGAAAATGGTGGTTTCCTGGCACACAAAGACATTGTCAGTAAAACTGAAGTGTCTCTTTGCTATATATTTCCAACACAAAACTGCTGCCAGGAGCTCTCATCTGATTTGCTCAGGTTCGCTAAACATCAAGGTGAATAATTGAGACAGGCTGAGTTTGTAAACCCTGGGGAATTTGCAGCAGCAGAACAGAGAAGGGAAGAAAAGACATTTTGAGCTTTGTACAGAGGGTCCAGTCTGTCTTTTAAGAGAGGTTGTAGTGCACTTTTTGACTGAGACAGCACAAGAAGGAATACAGGTAGGGTGAAGCCAAGATCCCCCAGCCTCACCCACAGACACTCCCAGACCAACAGGGATTTGTTCAGCCTCAAAACTTCCTCAGGGAAAAGTCTTGCTAAGCTTTGCAGCTCAGCTCCTAGGAAAGCCCATGTAGTCACAGAATCCAGAATGGTTTGGGTTGAGATCACCTTTTCCAGCTCTCTGCCATGGGCAGGGACACCTTCCATGAGCCCAGGTTGCTCCAAGCCCTGCCCAGCCTGGCCTGGGACACTTCCAGGGATGAAATGTCCCACCCAGCTATTTTAAAAGAACAAAAAATAAAAAAACCACCCCACCTTGTACAGAAAAGCTTTTAAAGCATTTCCCTTCCTTTCCCAGAAACAAATTTGCAGTCCCCAAGGTAGAGATTTGCCTTACCTTCCTCTTCAAACAGCATCCAGCATCCACTGCCAAACTGCATCTTCTCTTTTATGATGTGCTAAAGGAAACTGCTGCCAAGTCACCACTCCTGCTCCCACACTGACACTGGGCCTTTGATGGACTTTTGTAGAGGGGAGTTGTGGATTTATCACAGAATATCACAGAATATGCTGAGTTGGAAGGTAGCACATTCACACCTGTCCTGTGTTGACAAAGAATTTAAAAGATATGTCTCTATCCAAAATGAGTCTCTGCACTCTCCTTCAGTTCCTGCCATGCCCCACCTGCCCCAGGCAGTGCTGCCAGGTGTTTGTAGCTCCTGCTCAACCTCAGCAGGGCTGTGAATTCAGCCCTGGGCTCAGCTCTTCCCCTAAAAATGCTGTAAATGCTCAAACCAGCAACATGCAGCTGCCACTGGGCTTCTCCTGGCAGTGAGCAGGGGAGGTTTAGTTTGGATATCAGGAAAATTTCCTTTTCCTGAAGAATTGTCAAGCACTGGCACAGCTGCCCAGGGCAGTGGTGCAGTCCCCATCCCTGGAGAGATTTAAAAGGTGTGTGGATGTGGCACTTGGGGTTAGTGGCAGCCTTGGGGAATGGCTGGAGCTGATGATCCTAGAGGGCTTTTCCATGATAAATGATTCTGTATCCAGGTGAGGCACAGAAAGTGCAGCTCAGGCCCCTTCTCTGGGGAGGGATTTGCTCTCCCCCTCCCTGGTCCCTCTTGTTCCAGCTCAAGCTGCCCAGACCTGGGAAGGCTCAGGTGGAAAGATGGGCATGAGGGAGCTTTCAGATGTGGGCAGGGAGCAGCCAGCCCTGCTTCTGGAAGGGGCTGAGGCAGCTCTGCCTCTAACTGGGACCAGCTGACACACAGGAGCTGTCCTGTGGGCTGGCAGGTAGAGACAAATGAACTAAAAATGAGCAGGAGTTGTTCTTTTTCTTTGCTTGGTGTTTTTTGTTGTTGTTGTTTGTTTTAGTTTTAGTTTTAGGTTTTGGTTTTGGTTTTGGTTTTGGTTAGTTTTTGTTTTTGTTTTTGGTGGCAGTTATTCCTACTGCTGCAAACTGCTTTTTTTTACTACCCAGGACTTCATTTCCAGCAGCACCAACTTGTGATACTTCACAGCAATGCTGCAGTTATGGGACCTGATGGTGTATGAGGAAAAAGGGGCACGACAGGCTGCACCTCCGAGTCCCCTTATGGCTTGCAAAGAGCCCCTGTGGTAACCTGGCAGGGGACAGTGATATTCTGGGCTGGTTCAGACCATCTGCAGAGATTAATGTGCTCCTGGGCCACTGAGACAGTCGTTCTAAATCCAGGGTTGCACATAATTTGAATACATTACCAAAATGGAGTTCAGCTGCACCTCACTGTCAAAATGTGAGCATATTTTACCCGTGTCAGGGCGCTGGAGCATGGCCAGAGAGCCAGTGTAGTAATTTTTTGGGCATGATGTTCAGCCATATTTTATGAAACTCCCTGTGCTACACTTCAGTGCCTGCCTGGGAGAGCCTCAGCCCTCGCTCAATAAGCTGCTTGTTCCAACCTTGCCGAAATCTCCTTGGAAAATTAACGTCCTGCATTGTCCTTTTCTCCCTCCTTGTGCTGTTCCTTAGCCTGAATGATTGTGGCTTTGGTTTAATCTCGTGTCAGACACTGTTCAGTCTGAAATGTCACAGCCATCAGCCCAGCACTGTCCTCTGCAGTGGTGACAACACACAGATACACCAGTGAACTGCTCTAAGCTGTGTTCAGCACGAATTATTTCCCTCCCTTTCCTGCCTGATGTCAGAATTTCTGCAGAACGTACAGAACAGTGGAATTTTCTCAACTTTAAAACTAGCACAAAGCAGCACGAGATCTGCTCTGGATCTCTGCAGCATCTCTGGCTGCAGGGAGCTGCCTCTGCCCTGATATTGGAGGGAATATGCACAGTGTTACTGGGTTGGCTCATTAAAAATTGATTAAATTGCAGAGAGTTCTCCCCAAACCCAGCTATTCTGAAGTCTGGAAGGTCAGTCTCTTCCATAACTCAGCATTCCTTTCCTGGAGACTGGAAGGACCCTGTGTCTGTCTGTGCAGCTGTAAAATGATGGTGTTAACTTCCCACCTCCACTTTGTTGGGATGAAAAACAATAGGGCACAGCAAGGCATCATGGTGATAATATAAATACAAAAAAACCACCAACCTAAGAGTAAAATATCTGCTGGCTTCTGTAAGGATAATGCAAAGGCAAGATGTAAAATACGGCACACATAAAATGTGTCATTTCCTTATAAGAGCAGAATTAATGGAGGCTATAAAAAACAAATCAAAAACCACTATGGAAGACCTTTTTCCCAGGGAAGAATATGAGAATTCATTGGATTTAGACATAAGGAACAGTGGTTTGTGATAATAAAAGTGCTAACAAAAAGTAAAATTAGGAATGTGTTTTCTTGCTTCTTGCATTGGTGAACTAATGAGCACGACCTCTTAAGGACAAAGCTGGCCTCTAGCACAGGGAATTCTCCTTGCTGGGCATTGCTCTCCTCTCATTTCTCAGGATTTGGTATTTTTTCACTCCAGCTGTATTTCACACCAATTCTTTTACGCCCACCCCAGACACTGCTCTGCCTGCAGCTGGAGAAATCCCTGATTGCTCACAGCTCCCCTCCTCAGCCTGGCTCTGGGATCTCCTGCCTGCAGCTGCTGATGGTCTCTGCCCTTCTCTCACAGGACCACGCTGACATTGAGTGGAAGTTTGCACGGACAAAGCTCTGGATGAGTTACTTTGATGAAGGTGCCACTCTGCCCCCTCCTTTTAACATTGTCCCCAGCCCCAAGTCAGTCTGGTACCTCTGCAAGTGGATCCACAACCAGCTGTGCCCAGGAGACGACTCTGACAACGAGCAGAAGAGGCACGAAAACCTCAAAACATTCACAGTAAGCAGCTCATGGGCTTGTGCTTCGTTTCTGGAGGGTGTTGGGGATATTCAGGGATCATAACTTGCTCAGAGCCACCAGGAACTCTAAAGACAGGACCAGACAGGTGACACCCCTGTGCCTTTCTCTTTCCAGGAACGACATGCTGACAACCTGATTCAGAATCAACATTACCAGGTAAACTCTTGAGCACATGAAGTTTTTTACTCCAATACTTCAGTTTTTGCTTGCTCCCAGAATATAGTTTCATAAATGTAGGTCCTCTAAGAGGATTTTGCTTATCATGGATTAAAGCATTTCCTCATTGGAGGTGGATGGTTCAGTAAATCTGTCCTTGCCTTTCAGCCCCTCTGGAATAGTGGAAAACTTGCAGGTATCAGTGTGGCTGCTGAAGTCAAGGTCATATCCCCACTGCCATCAGGCTGTCAGGACATCCTGATTAAAACTATTTCTGCAGCATTTCAGCACTCCTGAATTGTTCCTCTCTTGCTCTGTTTTTTGAAGCACCCCTAACTCAGACTGTGGTTGGGATATTATTTTGTTTGGGACAGCTCAGGAAGGAGGAATGATGCCTTTGCTGAATCTTGCTGGTTTGTTTATTCTCAGCCTGCCTGTCATCAAGTACTCATTAAACTCAACCTGGAAAAGGATGAAACTTCATTAAATCTTCAGCCCTTGAATTCAGTGGGATGTATTATGCCAGCACGCTGGAAAGGAAAAAAATTCTCCAGAATGTTAGGTGGTACGTTAGGCTCCACTGCCAAAAGCCATTAGTAATTTGTCTTGCTTAAGACATCTTCTGCTTTCTGAAGAGCACTTTTATCAGAAGTCGGTGGTTAACATAATTAGTCACCTTTGACAAGTGGCATATGGTGCTTTCTGACTTCACAGCACAGCTTACAGCCACGACATTGGGATCTCTTAAAAACCTCCCAGCAAAGCCTCAGTGCAGGCACCATCTTCAGCTTGGTGTTGCTCAGACTTGATTATGGAGGGGGGAAATGCAGGGCAGGTTTGGAGCAGCCTCTTCCCTGCACACAACAGGCACAAACAGCCCTGGTGTGTTTTGGCTGGCACAGATAAATGTGCAAGCTCAAGGCACCAGTTTGCTTCTGTGAAGCCATCAGGGAGGGACATGAGCAGAGCAAAATGGAGCTCATCCAGCCAAAAACATGGAGTGCAGCAGACAGGTAACACAGAGGAGTGACAGTCCCTGGAGAAGTCACTGAGAGTGTGATTTGGCCCTTCCAGTGCTGCCCACGGATGGTGCAGCCACCCTTAAAGGAGTTTCTGCCCTTAGGGAACACCCAGGAAGCTGCAGATGTGGTTTGATGTGAATGTCCACTGACCCATGGGGTCCTGGCTGTTCTTCACATTATTTATTGCTAAGATAGCCTCCCTGGCTTCAAATACTTGATAAACCACCTTCAAATGCCAAATTTAGCCCATCAAGATACACAGTGTGCACACATGAGATTGGTAATTGTAAAACCTTTCAGCAGCTGAGATTAAAGAGCACATCTAAGAACTGCTTGGAGAACTGCACTCCAAGAATTTTTTTTTCTCCGTGACTTGTACATCTACAAACCCCAGTACAAAATAACTGCCTTGACTTTAGTTAAAAACTAAGCATCCATAAGATGGAAGCTGTATCACCCCTTCCCAAGGTTAAGGTTCTGCTTAAAAGGAAGCATTTTGTTTCTAGTGGTGAGTGTTTTTTAGCCAGCAGAGTCAGGACAGCTGCTGTTGGCAAGAGCTCAGGGAAACGCAGCAAGAACAGAGTTTGGGCTGAGCTAGCAATTGAATCACTTGGATTGTTTCCTATTCCAGGAAGTGATAAGAAATCTTGTGAAAAGATACGTTGCTGCAATGATAAGAACTTCCAAAACCAACGAAGGTTTAACTGAAGAAAACTTCAAGGTAATTTATTATTCCTCAATAATAATTTGTTTTATTAATTCAAACAGCCACTTGCAGAGTTTGCACTAACACGTTAAGGTGATTTGTGATGTGTGGAAATAGGATTGTGACTGGAGCTGGGAATATATCTGATGGGGTTTTGTGGGCAGAGTGAATTATTACTGAGTGTCTTTCTAGATGACCACTTCCCATATTTTAATATACAATGTGCTATGCAGACAAAAGCATTGGAAAATGTGATTTGAGCCAACATCACATTCTCAGTCTTAATGCAGACAGAGCCAAGAATGGGTTGGGATTGATGGATATTAAGAACACTTGCTAACAAATTCAAAGTTGGGCCTATCAGCTAGACAGGATTCTTGCCATATTTCAGCAGTTTTCCCTCTTCTGTAACTCTTTTTATCTGACTTTTTGGGATGTGCAGGGCGTGGGCAGAAGGGGTTGGGTCAACAGGGCCAGTCCTCAGATTTTGGCAATTCTCAGCACCACCAGCACATCGTTTTTGTGCCACACTGGCCGTGGATGTTCCTGTGGGATTTGGCAGCAGCCACTGGCACAACTGAACGTGGTCCTTCCTTCGTGTCAGATGGGGGTGCTGGGAGTAACTCCTGTCTCCTCTTGCCCCAGGAATTAAAACAGGACATCTCGAGTTTTCGCTATGAAGTTCTCGACCTCTTAGGCAACAGGAAGCCCCAGAGGAGAAGTTACTCCACCAGCAGCACAGAGGTGTCCCAAAAGGATGAAACAAACGAGGACGGTGCTGGAGAAAAGCCCAGAGCCAAGAGCGTGTCTTTCAATGTAGCCAACAAAAAAAAGGACTTCAATGTATCTGCTCTGATTAAAACCATGTCTGGGATCAACATGGTGGAAGAGAAGCCAAAAAGCAACGGGATCAGCAAGCGCTCCTTTGTCCGGAATGGGAACAGAGTGCAGAGACTCTCCAGCTCCAAGAAGGAATCCTTCAAGAGGCTGGGGCTGCTCTTCTCCAAAATGAACGGCCACGTCCCCGAGCCCAGCTCAGAACCCATGTACACCATCTCAGATGGCATCATCCAGCCACACTACATGTGGAAAGACATTAAATATTCTCCCATGGACAGAGAGAGAGAAGAGAATTGTTCCAAAAGTGAAATTAACCTCAATGAGGTGGCCTACAGTGGGAACACGAGACTTACAGGACAGAGCAAGGAGTGCCCTGTGGTTTGTACCAGCTCCCTTCACTGTGCTTCCAGTATTTGTTCCTCTAACTCCAAACTTATAGACTCGTCAGAGGATGTGTTTGATTCGTGGGGGGAGGCCTGTGACTTGTTTATAAACCAGTGGAAAGAGGGGCAGGAGGATCATGTTACCACTCGGCTCTGAGCAAAGCTCTCTTAACTCTCACTGGAAAACTCAGCCAAGTATTGGTAATTGTTTGCTCTCATCTGGTTCAGCATCACTGTTTCCTTTCTGTCCACAGGTGAAAAAAAAAGTGTAAACCTCCTTATGTTATAGCCTGTTTTATAGCCATCTGCACCTTTTTTAATTTACTTTTTTTACACTCACTAATACTAAACTAATGGTGTCACCATTTATAAGGTTGCCATAAACCACAGGAATCCCTTTGGATGCAGTCTTAGTCTCCAAACCCCACAGACTTCAGGCATGCAGGTGGCTGAGGAAAGGATTTCTCCAGTGCTCCCATCATCATCCCACCCCAGCTGGGTTTCAGTGCTGCTGTCCAACACCATTGGCTCTGCATCCTGCTCAGTTTTCCTCATCAGCACAAACAGCTGTTGAGCAGGAGGCTGAGAATCACACAGAAAATACTTTTTAAAGGGTTTCGACCTATAACTGCAGCTTTTTTTGTTTCCTTTAAGCAATATGAGTTCTGATTCTTTTGGTTGTGCTTGTTTTTTCAGGCCACTGTATTAATATTGTAAATTATTACTGAATATGAGACCCCTTTGATCATCCACCTGGAACATGTTTTTGTTGCTAACATACTTGCTTATTTACCTAATTTCCCTTTTGGGGAGCAGAAGGACTTTCCAATTAGGCTGACAGTGGAAGCCAGCACCTGGCCTTGCCTCCAACTCCTGTGGAGATGAACCGAAAATAAAACAACCCAAAACAACCCAAAACAACCCTGGCTGCTTGAAATACAAACCTCAGAGTAGTTTCTAATAGGCTGAACCAAAACCCAGCTCTAAGCCTTGCCCTTATTTTGCAATCCTTAATTTTAATTCTAGTGCTGCATTCACTTTTTGCCGCCTCTCTGATGGGTGTCAGGCTTCAGGGGGAAATCCATCTCCTGGGGGAGAGCATCTTCCCTGGGCCCCTGAGCTGCAGGACTGAAAAGCAGCCTAAGCAAGAGCAGCCAGTTGCTGGAACAGCTCTGCAGGTCCTTCTCTGAGCTGCAGCACAAAGGAGTGTGGCAGGAGGTGGGATCTTTTATTATCTTTTATTGTCTTTTATTATCTTTTATTTCTCCAGCTGTGGGAGTGTCTGGACAGGGCTGAGAACTGTCACTGCTGCTGTCCCAAGGAGCATCAGAGGGGGAAAAAAAACCCATCAAGGGCAAGGTGGTTGAATTCTTGACAGGGATTTTTAGGGGCTTTTATTTTAATTTTTTAACCATGGGAAACTTGAACTTTCTTCTGCAGTGATGCTAAGAAACACAGATGATTGGCACTCAGGGGCACCTCCGAGCTGTTCTGGGTCAGCTGCGTCCTTGGAGGGAGCAGGTCCTGCCCAGGAGCTCGGGAATGGTTTCATTCCTGCAGGGCTCTGCTGCCAGGAGGGGTTCTGGGAGCTCCAGGGTGGCTGCCAGCAACAACCTCACCTGGGACCTGGGCTATGAATCGCCTCTGGAGAAATGTAAAGCTGGAAAATCTCCCCCTGCCACTGGAGCAGGCCAGGTTTCAGCAGCGAGGGGCACGAGCAGCTCTGCTGGCTCAGGAGCAGAGGGATGAGGGATGCTGGAACACTGCAGCTGGATTCTCTGCCCGAGTTTTAAACCTGGCCCCCTCCTCTGGCGAGGGAAAACTCCCCTTGTGGGGTTTTCCCTCGGGGCAGCTTCACCCGGGACGTGGAGCACAGAGAGAAATGAGAGTGCTGCAGCAGCTCCTGGGGCAGAGCTGAGGTGCCTGAACTCGTGGAAATGTTCAGAGCAGACCTCTGTGGCTCCGGGGTGTTGAGATAAATCAGCAGCAAGGAGCAGACTCAACAACACTTCTGTATTCCTTGCTTGTAATGACAGCAGTCTTGTTGCCAGCAGGGAGTGTAAAACCCCAAATATTTAAGCCTCTGGATGTGTTGGTTAAGGCAGAGTGAAAGGCATTTTTGTATCAACAGATTTCAGGCTTTCACACTAATTGCAGGGTTAGAGTTGTCTTTGAAAACTGCATTTCCTCTTTCCTCATGGAAGGCTGAGCAGACTGACATTGGTGGTGCACAAGGAGACTTGCAAAACCCGAGGGTGGGCAGCACTTGCTGATCATTCCATGAGGAATTCAGGCACCCCTGGCTGGAGGAGCAAATCCACGGAGAGGAGAGAGCCACAGTCAGAGGCAATGCTCACAGCAAAAGCCCCACAGGTCAAGAAAGCAAACCTTGCACGTTTCTGCAAGGATAAACATTAACGGGAGCTGCTAAAGGGGGGAGAATTTGAATCCTTTGATGCCTCACCTAAGCCACACTGCAGCCTGTGGGCTCTACTTGACGTGGGGCCAGAGAATCTTTGTGGCATTTCCTGGGTTAGGAGGAAGAATGAAAACAATTCAAGTACAGTTATGCAGATTACATTAACTGGGCTTGAAACCGGGCCAGAAATTGGGGTTTATGTCCTTGGACAGCGGAGAGGCTTTGAAGTGTTCAGTGAGAACAAGCACACGGCTCACATGGTGTCACTCCAATGCATCACCAGGTACAAACAACACAAAGAAATGGAATTAACTCTGCAGTGCTGCCCCCAAAAATGCAAAAATCCCTTCCCTGCAGGCTGTGTGAGTCACGTTCTCCTGCTGTGTCCCAAAAGGGCAGGGCTGGGAGCTGCCACATCCAGATCTGCACATTGAGCACATCCCCAGTGCTGTGCTAAAGGGGGAGATGCTTCAGTGGCTCCGTGGCTGGGGCTCCCCTGGGCTTTGTTTCACTGCTGAGATCCTTCCTTGCTCCCAGCTACGAGCTGACTTTGGAATTCAACACAAATATTTGATTTGGCTGTGATTAATACACGTGTCCAGGAGTTTGCAAAACTCAAATTGGTCCCCCAAAAGGCAAAATTCTCTTTGATTGCATCTATGCATCCCTGTTGATAGCAATAGACTTTGGAGCAGCTGGTGAATTATTATTATGCTAAAACAGGAGCTTCAGGGGAGTGAAACTGAAGCAGCTTCTGAAAAATACATTTGATAAAAAACAAACCAACCCAGGTTTTGCTTAATTCACTTGCAGCACAAAATTTGGGAGTTCACCAGTATTTTTCTGCTTTCAATTGCTCAAAAAAGAAAACGTGTTTTAGTGAAAGTTCTTCTTCAGAGAAATCAGTGGATGACCCCTGTGCTGTCTCTGCAAGGGCCAGGAGCTGATGGAACACTCGAGTTTCTCCTGTGAGGAGTTAAAATTTTCCTTGGCTCAGCTGGGTCACACCTGGCCTTTATTCTGTGGGTTTCAGGAGGGATCCTTGTATATATACACAGAGTTTGGAGTTAGAAATAACAGAGAACTCAACCATTTGCCCTTTCTTAGATTTCTTGCTCTTGAAGTTGCATCTTTTTCTCACCTCCCATTCCAGTGTCATTTTCACCTGGCTTTTTAAAGCAGCACAATGGTCATGGAATTGTGGAATGGTTTGGGTTGGAAGGGACCTTAAAGTTCTTGTTTCAACCCCCCTGCCATGGGCAGGGACACTTTGCACTCGGCCGGGTTGCTCCAAGCCCTGTCCTTGGACACTTCCAGGGATGGGGCATCATCACCAATTAAAAAAATTAGCAAATAACACCCAGGGTTAGGAATTTAATAGAGCTGGGAAGTGTTTGTACTCAGGTCAGAGATTACCTAAATTGCTTCAGAAACAAGAAATTAACTGAATTACCTGTGCAGGTTATTTGGATAACTGCATTTGTACATGGCTCACTTGCTGGTAAATATGTAAATATTCCCGTGTTTGTACCTGTGTCCCCTCAGAGGAAGCATGGGCAGTGTCAGAGCCAGGAGGGAGCTCAGCTCCACTCCCTGCTCTGCCTCTGCCTCCCCTGTGACCTTGGGCAAGTCACTCAGCCTCTCGAATGCCTCAGTTTCCCCATCTGTAAAATAGGGATAATAATACTTACCTACCTCGCAGGGGGGGTTAGTTCATTATTTATAAGCACTTTCAAATTTAAAGGCGCTATATACAGTACGTAGTTAATATTGGTAGCAGTAGTATGTACTTTTATTTTCTTACAACTAATTCAGGTTAGGATTTAACTGTATGTCTGTTATGATAATTTTCCATGTAGGAAACTCGCATGGTTTCCCCATGAAGGGAATTTAGGGGACTTCTGCAGTAGACAGAGAGCAGGAGCAGCATACCCTGGAAGCCTAAATTCTGACACCTTTGCTTTTGTGATTTATGCCTCACCCAAAATGTCACCTTCCTGTATTTGTGTTCCATCCCTTTCCCGACAGCCCATGTTAACATGATTTTTAGCAGAAACAGCCACTGTAAATATTAAGAGTATTTAAATAAACATATTAATGTATGAATATTAACCCTTACTTTTTAAAGAGGTTCAAATTGGTTGGTACAACAGGATTCTGAGCATGGAGGGGGGGCTCCACAGGCAGCTCAGCACTGGTGCACACTGGGGTAGGGCTGTAGGAAAATTCCACATCATCACCTCTGTAATAATCACTCTTCACCCCATCACTGGCAAGGACAACTCACCTGGGTGTCACAGGAGGGCAGGGGGAGGCTGTGGCTGGAGCAGGGTGGCTCTGCTGCCTGTTCTGGGCAAGGAGAGGGAAAGGCAGCTCAGGCAGCAGAGTGGGGCCAGCACTGTGGCTGCTGGAGGAGCCTGGACAGCTGGAGACTGTCCCCTGCAGCCCTGGGAGGGGCTCCTCACCCAGATTTCTCTGTGCAATATTGTCTAGTGTTTGCTCTGGATGGAGGTCTGGTTTGAGCAAGAGGAGCTCGAAGAGGGGACGGGCAGGGTAAGGGCACTCTGAGCTCCCTGCCAGGGACAGGAACACGTGCAGGACCCTGGATGCTATGGATGGGGCATCTGCACAGTTAGCAACAGTGCAGGCAAGGGTCTGGAGCACCTCTGGGTTTTCCAGCAGCTGGAAACCACCCAAGCACTCACTGCTCTCACACCATTACGTGTTTGTCCTGCTTCCCCTCCCAGCTTTGCTTTGGTGTCGTTACTTTCCTTTTCAAAGGAGCAAAATCCCAAAGAAAAGCGAATTCAGTTACCCAGGAGGAGGTTCAGTGGTGGGTGAACTCCTGACTGCGTGTCCAGTCCTGTCCCACAGACAGATAAAGCTCTGTGCAGCCTCAGAGGATGATTCCCAAAGGATCAGG